AACTTTTTCGCAAGCTGACAAAAAAATCAGGAACCGAGTATAATGGCCCAATTGTCTTTCCTGCTCCAGATAGCAATCTCCCCTCAACTACTGATAATTAAAATATAATTATCTACTAATCCTAAAGAACGAATGTTTTGAAACAATATATGCTTCAATCTACCGATCTCATGATTCCTGAGGTTTATGTCTGCTAGACGCAGACTCTATATTATTATTGATTTCATAGCTGCTATCTTGACTCCATACAATACAATATAGGGATTGTGATGAGCAGATAAAAGAATATGGATTATGAAATGAAATAGGGGAAACAGAGAAAAAACGATTATATATTTGCCCTCCTGAGAACTGGCTCGAAAGCTATAGCCGATACTATTGAAATGTAACATTCGTGCAATCCTGACTGATGGCATGCCTGATCAGGGGGGACATCAACCAATGTACACATAAACAACTAGCTAGTACCTTAGGATTAGATGGAACTGTCAACTTGAGAGACACAATTAACCTGCTTCATGCAATTCAAGAGTGGAAAAAGGAAGCAGTGAATTTTCAAACCAGCTATTCCGAACTAAGCTGGACACAGGGCCCCAAATAATGAGATGCAACGTGGGTCGGAATGAGAAAAAGGATAACTGGGCGATGGCCCTGAAGTCCAGGGAGATGAAGATGCATATATACGAGCATCAGAGGATCTAAATAATCAAATTTGACGCAAACGGGGACGGGAAATGAGAGATCATAGACAGCCAGACAATGATGTTAATGTGAAGCGGCGAACAATTGACAAGCGAGGTGGAAAGGAGGCTGAATGAAAATCATAGGCCCAGTAAATAGCATCTAAATCCACTAGTAGTGAAACACTCTCAGGCAACAATGATGGAAAAGAGAGCCGATAATTATGTGAATCGGTGAATGGGCCATATGAAGTGAAGTTGAGAAAAATAGATGTAACACTATAAGGCAAAACAAAAAATAGAGGCAAGGAGCGATGCCACGAGTGAACAGAAAATTGGTCATGAGGTTTCCCTTCACTTGCCACTTTAAAAAGTTGAGTCTCTCTTAGCGATGGCGCCTCCCACTGACGATGCCGGCGAAACGTTTGGGAATATACCATAACAATGGTCCGATGCTGTAAATCATGAATACTGTAAGAGATGACACATGACTAGGTACGTTCCACAAGGTCTCCCTGTCGCTCCGACCAAGTTGCGAAAATGCATTCGAACCAGACGTCACTTATTCTCTGTGTTAGCATGTTTAGAGACTATCCGTCATTCTATCAAATAACAGCAAGACTAGGTCGTGGCTTTTCAATCTCGTTAGAATTAATGGAAGAACTCACATATCAAAATAAGGCATAAAGCAGAAAAAAAGGAGTACTTCATAGCAGGGGTACATTATTGGAGAACGAGGAGGGAATAATTGTACCGATTTTGGCATCTCGATAATACTTTTCCACCGGAAAGTCCTTGGTATATCCAACTCCGCCCAACCATTCCATTGACTTTGAGGTGACTTCGGTGGCTAAGTTTGCACACAAGAACTTGGCCATTGATGATTCTTTTTGAATATCTTGATTAGCTTCTTTCCGGCGGGCTACATTGTAGACGAAGGCACGAGCGCAAGTGAGTTGTGTTGCTAATAACGCTACTTGATGCTGGATAGCCTGATAAATGAACAGTAAAAGAGTTAAAAATTTGAGGATAAAAATAGCTCTTTAAATTCGCCAGGCACGTCTGAAAGGGAAACGATTAAATAGAAGGTTCGGCATACATCCGTCCTTGGACTCCCCATCTAGTTCTGGTCAACATTAGATAGAGTACTAGCCCAAAAATGATGGGCTAGTTACCAAGCCCCAACAAAGGAGTCAGGTGCACTTTAAGTGAAAGCCACTATTATTCAGAGAAATTTGACTTTCTATGTCCATCCAATAATCAGCAAATCCTTATATAAGCAAAATAACAAATTAAGCACTTTGGGGGCTAAACATCCTCTTCATACAGATCAATCGATAGATTCAGACACTCAAGTAGCCTAAGCATATTTTAGCCAAATATTCTTCAAATCTCAGAGTACAACTATTTCATATATAAATTACCTACTGGTAGTCTCGAAGACCTACTTATAAACGAAACAAAATAGTCTAACCGTTTTAGTGCTTCACAAATAAATGAAGTATTAAACTAAAAAGAGTTGTTTAAGAGTTACGCTGCGATTGTCTGCAAGGAAAAAGATTACATAATAATCATTATGAGTACCATGTTGTTAAGTAAAAATAAATGGAATAAACAATTGGTGAAACTTAAATTTAAGATGATAATTATCAAGAGAATTATGACAAGCGAAATTTTATAAAGAAAATATCTAGGATAGGAAAATGAAATGTTTTAGGTTCTTGCGTAGCGATACTGTCTTTATCAGAATAAGATAGGAAAACTGTCTGGAAATAAAGAAATTTAAAAAGACTATACAAAGGGTTAAAATTAAGCTTTCCTAATATAATAAAAACAAACTATATATTATTTTCGTAGATATGAAGGTAAATATTGTGCGGCATCCTGCTTAGTAACAGTCTCCTTATAGTGTTGGGTTGACCTCATTTTCGCAATATTATGGAATGTACATAGTCCTGAATAGTCCGGCCACATTTTCTCTTAATTTAGTATATATTTGCTCTTTTTCGTAAAGCATGTATCCTTGCTCTGATGGTGTCTGTCAGAGACGAAACCTTAGCACAAGTTCATCGGGGTCGGAAGATGGTGAGCCGAGGACTTCTTTGCACAATATAACAGTCTACGCAATAATCTTCCTTCAGTTTCCGGTCCCACCACATGAGGAATTCCTTCCAACTAACTCTTTCTTGGAAATTGGAGGGCATTTCACAAGTATGTAAACATCATGTTTCAGAGAAACCTGGTGAAAAGGAGATTGGAAGAAGGGAGAGTCAGCGATAATTTCACGTACTGCATGGACAGAATTGAAGATTCAGTGAGGATAACAAAAAGATGCTTGAACCAAGGACAACTATTCAATAAAAAAGACATCGTCGGTAAGAGGATCATGAGGGACAAATGGAAGTCAAGAAAATGAAATTTCAGTCGGAGAAAAGAGCCTAAAAATTTACCGGCGTGGGCCCACTTGTCAGATAGGAAAGTAAAGACCAGAAACAGTCGAATTATGCCCCATTAGAGGTGCTAGGTGGAAAAGATAGGCCCCCATTGTACGTTATCATTTTTCAGGTGTATACGTTGATAAGAGATGACTGATGACATGTCTGACTAAAGGGACTACCAAATAATGCACACATAAACAACTGACCATCACCTTAGGAACTTGAGAGACAAGACAATCACCTTAAGCGATTCAGAAATGGAAAATGGAAGCGGTGCGTTTTCAAACCAGCGGTTCAGAATTTAGCCGGGCACAGGGACCCAAAGAATAAGATGCAATATGGATTAGATGAGAAAAAGGATAACTGGGCGATGGCTCTGAAGACTAGAAAAGAAGATGCCTAGGCATTGTCATTAGATGATCTAAATCACCGAATATGACGTAAACTGGGACGGGAATTGGAAGGTAATAGGTAGGAAGATAGTGATAATAATGTGAAGTGGCGACCAATTGACAAACGAGATGAAAGGGAGGCTGAATGAGTCAGAAGCCCTGTGATTAGCACCTGGGATAGGTGGTGAGGATGATCATGCCTCATTAAATCCGCGTATAGTGACAAACTCTTAGGCGATATTGAAGGTTTCGAGAGCTCAGAATTGTGTGAATTGGTAAATGGGTCATATGA